CTCAGCTTCTAGAAAAATTACTTATCCTTTGGAAGGTAATCTGTACTATTGTCAATTCTGGAAATTCTCTTTTCAGATGCTGTCTTTGCATTTCAATTGCGCAACCCAGTACACAACGGACATGCTCTGTTAATGCAGGATACCCATAAACAACTTCTGGAGAGGGGCTACCGGCGCCCAGTCCTCCTCCTTCACCCTCTTGGCGGCTGGACAAAGGATGACGATGTTCCTTTGATGTGGCGTATGAAGCAACATGCCGCCGTGCTGGAGGAAGGGATCCTGACTCCCGAAACCACAGTGGTGGCCATCTTCCCGTCTCCCATGATGTATGCTGGACCGACTGAGGTAGCCTGGTCTCCAGTTCAGATTTTCACTGCGGCAGTGTTAAAGTGCCACTCGTAGTAACATAGCCAGTGTCTCCGACAGGCCTATTGATTTTTCTCTGGTGTATAATTCTCTTGCATACATTCAGCCTGCCTGCAGAGCACTGCTCTCCTGCTTTCTCAAGGATGTTCCCTATAGGTAACCCCCAAAGAGGCAGCCTTCTTGAGAAAGAGAAGATGGGGAGACGTTTCTCTTGCTCTTATTGCGGGTCTTGGTCCCAGTTGTGAAGCAAGGGATGTTCCTTGCAGGTGGTGCTGGGTGAGGTTGGGGAGGTGTGTTACAGATACAAGTCCCACAGCACTGATCTTCTTCCCCAGGGGACAGATTTGGTCTGACGTTTGCTGCTTCTGAACTTTGGAAGGGCTAAAGGAATTTCAGTGAGAAGAAGAGCATAGCTTCTTAAACATTCAAAGAACAAAGTGTTCTTTGTTTTTTTGTGAAGGACCCCAGCATGATAGGATCAGGAAGAAAAATTGCTTCTTGATACTGGGTGGGCCAGTGTAGAGGTAAGGTTCTGGATACTACTTCACAGTCAGAGGGGTGTTTGAGGTCTTCTTATATCCATATATAAAAAAAGGATTTGGTTAGGTTTTAGCATCAAAAAATATTTGTTGGTTTTCAAAAAATATTTGTTGAATGACGTAAAACACAGTGGGTGAGAAATTCCCTGCTAGCTTCTTCCTGAGTTTTCAGGATGAAGAATGGGATACACATTTTTGTTCGTTTCTTTTTCATCTCTGTCTCAAAGCAAGATTAATTCACTTAGATTTTATCTGAGAGGCAAACTTGTTTTAAAAAGATCTAAATAATTTAGTTGTATATACTCTGTAATGTCTTCCTTCAAAAAAAAAGTTTCATAGGGAATATATGAGCATTTTGCTTTTCTTCAGGATAATGCCTAAAAACTTTTATGGAAGCTCAGTTATTGTATTGGTACCTCTTTATTCAAATGAAAACAACAGTAATAATAAACTAGAAGATTAAAATGTATTTGACTCTTCCTTCAGATCGAGCCTAAATAATGCACGTCAGGTGAAACTCCTCACGTTCTTTCCTCTTTGTTGGTTAATAAAGTTCCATACAGTTTGTGTGCAGTTTACAGTAGTTTAATGTAGCAAACTGCACATGAACTTTATGAGACTTTATTATGGACACCCTGTATGACCAGAAGAATTAGATAGCGGTAGACCTTTGTGTTTATTAGGGACTGCTATTAAAATTCGTTCTTCCGTCTCAGAGAGGAACTAGCTGTTTAGGAAATAAAGTAATACTTTTGTTCCAGCAGTTCCCCAAACTTCCTTTTCGTGCTGATGATGTCATCACTGTTGTTATTATTTTAAGGGAGTCGTCTGGTCCGAGGCGCTCTTGAATTACAGGGTATTTGGGGGAATGACCCAAATGAGTTTAGAGTCAGGACTGGGTTTATGATTGATTCCTTCATTAAATATACGCCGGCTAGGAGAGAGAAGGAATTCACCTTCCCTGTAGGACCTAGTTTGTCCTCTTTTGTTTTTTATTCCTTATCGAAAAGTGGAAGTCAGATGAAATTTTAGCAACTGAATAAACTAAAAACTGCTTTTGAAATTGTGGGACTGGAAAGGTAGATAAATAATAAAGATACCAGCCAGTTATAGTAAACAGAGAATTTGTTCTTGAGAGGATGTCACAAAGGGTCTGTGTGTTCTTTCATCTAAATTAGAAAGATTTTTTGTGTGTTCTGACTTCAGAGCCAGGTTTATTTCTAGAGGAGATTAAAAAATGAAGGTTCCTAACAGTACCTGCAGGTACATTTTGACTTACCTTATTCTTCATCCTTGCAAGGCAAAGCTGATTGGTTGGTGTTATAGGGAATGTTTTATCACCCATCTCTAAGCTCTTGGTTGGGACTCCTATAACACAAGTCAGAGTAACAAGAGAAAAGCATATGAATCTATTTAACACAAGTTATATGACACAGAGCCTTCAGAAATGAAGACCCCAAGAAACAGGGAAACCTGAGTATTTTTATGCTTAGGTTTGATAAAGTGTGGACAGTCACGCAGAAGTGTGATTAGACGAACAGGTATGATCTAACTATAATCAACAGAGGGGCACTGAGCAAGGCTTATTCAGACTTTCGTCTGTGTCCTTGTGTCTTCAGAGCTAGGACCTCTGTCATTAGGAGTGAGGGTCTTCTGACGTACCTCAGAGGAAGTCTACCAAGTGGCCCAGTGTTCAGTTCAGCCGGATTGTAATACCGCTTCAGGGGAGAGGAGGTGAGGGGAAGGCCAGAGGGTCCTGCTTCTGGTGTTGTACCATATTCTGTGGTAGTTGTCCCGAACCCCATCGGTATGCTGCTTAAAATATGCCCTTCCCTGGCTTCAGATTCAACTCTGATTACTACCTACAAGAGTGTGGTCTAGTAAAAATAATACAAGACTTGCCAATGACAGGCATGGTCCTGGGCCTTTTTTGCCCCAGTTGGCTTGTAATTTCAGAGTCTGAGTTTATTAGATTTCTTTGGATGTCTCTGAACAGTGTTTAGCTATATAGCAAATGGTTATTTAAAGTATGCGCAAGGAGATAGGGACTAAATGTTCTGTAAGGTTCTATCTCATTCTAATGATTTTTGAATTTGTTTTTCATTTAGCTTCATGTCGAAGTATAATACATGTAGGGAAAAATACGCATTTCATAGGTGTGATTAGATGAGCTTTTCCCATTTGAGCAGAGGCACACAAGCAGTGCCCAGAAGCTCTCCTGCTTCACTTCTTGCCCTCCCATCTAACATTAGATACCATGGGAAGCAGATGCTGAGAGTGAGATTAGGGTTTGGGAAGCTTATTAAGGAGAATTCTTGGGATTAGCAATTGTCAAAGAGAAGAGAGGAAGGGAGCAGGATTGGGCCGAGGGAGAAGTTGAGCTGCAGTTCAGCCACTGTGGAGGCCTCCATTGACCATGTGGGGAGTTCTGGAAAGGCCTTTCCGAGATGTCCTAAGTTGCATGGGAAATAGGCTGCCCAGGGAAGGGGGCATACCTTTGGGGAGCAATTTGAGGGCTGACAGCTGCTGGTGTGTGCTGGCAGAATGCCCAGCGTCCAGAGGGCAGTCCCCTTCCTGCGGGAGACCTGATGTTGCATCACAGCATTCAACCCAGCCGGTTTGTAATACTTGTAACTGAAATCATGTAGTGTGCACTCTTTGTGTCTGGTTTCTTTTCCTTTATTATGCTTATGAAACTCACCCTGACTGCTATGTATAGTTAGTGGTAGATGTTTCATTCTCAGTACTGTGTAGTGTTCTAGTATTTGATTTTACCCGATATTATTGACTAGTGTTTGGGCACTTCTCAGGTTTTTGCTATTGAGAATAGTCCTGGCATGAAGATTGCAGCACATGCCTTTTTGTGGACATCTCTGTTGCTTCTACCTTGGAGTAGAACAGCTGGGTTGGGTGGTATGCATTTGTTCAGCATTAGTAGATGGTGCCAATCAGTTTTCTAATGGGGTTGTACTGTTTTTTACTCCTAAGCAGTGTATTTCCTCACCGGTACCCAATTGTCCTTCTCATTTTAGCCATTTCGTCCTTTGGTCTTGACTTCTTAGCTGGGTGTTGTGTAATGCTCTTACTGTTTCTTAACCACCTCAAAAATTGTATCATTGAATCAGTTTCATTGAAATGGAGACTTAATAAATGAGTTGTCATTATAGATAAGGATGAAGAAATAGAATATCATAATAGCCCATCTTTGTCGAATTCTTAACTGTACTTGCCAGGCAATATTCTACATGCTTTACAAGTTAATTAACTTAAGTTGACTAAGATTAAGTTAACTAACTTAATCATTGTAACAACACTGAGGTGGTGGTAGGTTCTGCTATTATTCCTCATTTACATTTTAGGAAACTGAAGGAGAGCTGTTAAATGGCTTGTTCAGGATCACAGGATAACAGTGGAG